GCGAGGGACTTAGCCGCGCGCCCAGCCCCGTCGGCGAAAGCAACACGCGGCGTGTAACTTGGCCGCCGACCGCTCGTCAGCCCCGCCGGCGGTAGGCCTGACGTACGCGCTAGCCTGACCGAGCGGCTAACCGTGACCGAGCGCAAGCCCGACCGGGCGCTAACCTGACCGAGCGCTAACCTTACCGAGCGCAAGCCCGACCGAGCGCTAGCCCGACGTGTCAGGCGAGGGACTTGGCCGCGCGCGCCAGCCCCGTCGGCGAAAGCAACACGCGGCGAGGAACTTGGCCGCCGACCGCTCGTCAGCCCCGCCGGCGGTAGGCCTGACGTACGCGCTGGCCTGACCGAGCGCTAACCTGACCGAGCGCAAGCCCGACCGGGCGCTAACCTGACCGAGCGCTAACCTGACCGAACGCTAACCTGACCGAACGCTAGCCTGACCGAGCGCTTGCCTGACGTGTCAGGCGACGTACTTGCCCGCGGAGCGCTTGTCGGCCCCGTCGGCGAAAGCAACACGCCGCGAGAAAGCAACACGCCGCGCGGGACTTAAAAAATTTTCGGCTCGGTCGGGTTCGGAGGTAAACCTGGCCGATCGACGCTTCCCCGCTAGCCCCCTTAATATTACGCCGATTCGCGTGCCCGCACGTTTATTCGGCCACCCTACTGCCCCCGTGCACCCCCGTCGTCCGTTCGCCTCGATTGCGGAGAATTTTCGGCGCCGGAGGTAATCGCGGCGAAAGCAACACGCCGCGCGAAAGCAACACGCCGCGCGGGACTTAGAAAATTTTCGGGTCGGGTCCGGAAGTAAACCTGGCCGATCGACGCTTCGCTTCCCCGCTGGCGCCATTAATGGTTACGTGATTCGCGTGCCCGCACGTTTATTCGGGCCACCCTAGTGCCCCCGTGCACCCCCGTCGTCCGTTCGCCTCGATAGCGGAGAATTTTCGGCGCCGGAGGTAATCGCGGCGAAAGCAACACGCCGCGCGAAAGCAACACGCCGCGCGGGACTTAGAAAAATTTCGGCTCGGTCGGGTCCGGAGGTAAACCTGGCCGATCTACGCTTCCCCGCTAAAGCCCTTAATGTTACGTCGATTCGCGTGCCCGCACGTTTATTCGGCCACCCTAGTGCCCCCGTGCACCCCCGTCGTCCGTTCGCCTCGATAGCGGAGAATTTTCGGCGCCGGTGGTAAACGCGGCGAAAGCAACACGCCGCGGGAAAGCAACACGCCGCGCGGGACTTAGAAAATTTTCGGCTCGGTCGGGTCCGGAGGTAAACCTGGCCGATCGACGCTTCGCTTCCCCGCTGGCGCCCTTAATATTACGTCGATTCGCGTGCCCGCACGTCTATTCGGCCACCCGAGTACCCCCGTGCACCCCCGTCGTCCGTTCGCCTCCATAGCGGAGAATTTTCGGCGCCGGAGGTAAACGCGGCGAAAGCAACACGCCGCGCGAAAGCAACACGCCGCGCGGGACTTAGTAAATTTTCGGCTCTGTCGGGTCCGGAGGTAAACCTGGCCGATCGACGCTTCCCTGCTAGCGCCTTTAATATTACGTCGATTCGCGTGCCCGCACGTCTAACTGAGTAGTCAGAAACCTTAAGCGTATATACTAAAATCAGAATGTTGTGTTGCAGGTGCGTTAAGACATTACATGACCAACAAGAAAGAAAGCGTAGTAACGATTGATATAGAATTGCAAAATGTGGGACGTTATATAGGAAGTAAAATCTGCGATTTACGGCGACCTCCACGACAATCAACAAAAAAAAATACTGTGACGTTTCCTGAAATCGAAGGCAACCATAACGCCGATGAAGCACAGGAAGTATTTGAATCTGACGATGATAAGGAATACCAGGAGGAAAAGGAGGACACAGCAGAAGATGAAAAAGACGAAACCGAAAATGAGAAGGACGAAACAGAAGATGAGAAGGACGAAACAGAAGATGAAAAGGACGAAACAGAAGATGAAAAGGACGCATCAGGAAATGATAATAACGAAACAAAAGATGAAAAGTTTGAAGATTATCGAGATGACGAAGAGGGCGAAAATGTAATGTAATGTAATATACATTTGAGAAAAAAAGCTGATTGAGAGCACGCTTTTCGTTTTTGCCGTATTTGACTGGTTTTTTGTCTTAATTTGAAAGATCCCCTATTAATCAATACAAAAGTACAAGATTAATAAGAAAAAACTTCATTTTCGACAATATATGCTTCAAAGAACACTGTAGAAAAAATGGTTAAAAAGTTCGGAATTTGTTTATAAAATAATTTATAATAATAGATAGATCGATTTCAGTGCAATATTTGAAAGCATTAAAGTGTTAATTATTATTAGTAAATTGTGTTTTAATTTCATTTTCGAAAAACCACGGATTCCCTCCGCCTATCGGACTTCTGCTATTTGCACATATCAACCACATGTAGATTTGGAATTCCAAGTTTATCCGAATTTAATAATGGATTGACGGATATTGGTGCAAAATCTACATTAATATTTGCATGGAATTCCAGGATTATCCTGCTTTTAAAGTGGATCGACGTGTAATATCCGTATTGTGCCATGTATGGATTTCCACGTTAATCCACCGATCAGAATTCACGAGCTGGCGCGTACAGCAACCACATTCATGTACACGTGGAATTCCAGGTTTATCCAAATATATTGGATCACCGTATATGAACCGTATTGCATTTAACGTGGAATTCCAGGATTATCCTGTTTTGAAAGTGAATCGACATGTAATATCCGTATTGCGCCATGTATAGATTTCCACGTTAATCCACCGATCAGAATCCACGAGCTGGCGCGTACAGCAACCACATTCATGTACACATGGAATTCCAGGTTTATCCAAATATATTGGATCACCGTATATAAACCGTATTGCATTTGGCGTGGAATTCCAGACAAATGTAAATCCAAAAACGACGTTAATGGGAAATATGCGGTTTTTTGCACTGGAAATCCAGATATGTCCCTATAAACAAGAAATATTGCATCCGGATTATACTTGGATTTCCAGACACTTGTGTACATATCAGAATTTCCAACTAAGAGTTGAATACGGATATATCTGTAATTACAGAAATATTTTGTACATAACAGGATTTCCTGATACCTACTAAAACATAACGGAATTTCCATGCAATTATTTAGGCTTGGATTTATTTGGAATTCCAAGTATGCGTCGAACAGAACGGGATTCGCAGACAAGAATTGCTGTGCAACATATTTGAAATTCCAAAAATAAGTTGGATATAACAGGATTTCCAGTGCAAGAAACCGCATTTGGCCAGTTATGTCCAAATTCATATACGGACGTGCTTGGCATTTTTAGCAGGGATATATTCTTCTATATCTTCGTCAAGTCTTTCAAGACAAATGTTGTGAAGAACTGTACAAGCAATTATCACAAAGGAAATCATATCTATTCTATTCATGTCTAGATATTTGAGTCTTCGAAATCGTCCTTTTAGTAAAGCAAACGCCCTTTCAATGACTTGCCGAACTTTAGATAATGCCTTGTTAAACCTTTTTTGATTCTATAAAAAAAATATCTTAATAACTTCATGATTCATATACAATATAGAAAGATTAAGAAAATGTTCAATATACGAAGATTAGAAAATGAGAAACTATTATGATTTTATAAATATAAACACTAAATATACAAACAAAGCATGTACTTACTTCTGTAAGATTACCACGATCACGATAAGGAGAAATACACCAACGTAAAACAGGGTAAGCCTTGTCACCAATGATGTATTCCTCGTTAGGAAAATATAATTGTCTATTTCTGTGCACTTCTGACCAAAGATCAGAATTCCTAAATACTCTTATATCACCGACAGATCCTGGGTAACCGGCAAAGCAATCCAAAAATACTAAGTCAGAGTCGCATACAGCCTGAAGTATTACGGCATATCTTCTTTTGTATGTCTTGTAAGACAAAGAGTCTTTCTGAAAAAGAATCAGCATGTTTAAGCAAATCTGATATTTAAAGATATCACATGTCTATTTTAATTTCGAATTCGTTCAACAATTTTCTACATAAAATTATGTTATAATCAGAACATTAAACTCATTTAAAAAATTAGCAATATTTTTTTTTTAATCAAGAAACTTACATGTGGCTTTTTTATGGAAATGTGAGTACCATCCACAGCCCCAATAATGTCAGGTAGTACTGATAAACTTTGAAATTTTTCTTTTACTATTGCTAATTTGTCTCCTCTTGGCCACTGTACAATATCTATAGCGATGTCATTCAAGGCTTTTACAACCCTCATGAAACTTACGCTGAGTGAGCTCTTGCTCATATCAAATCTTTCCCCTACAGATCTGAAACAAACATACTTATTTATAGATAAGATTCACACAAGCACATACACCTAACACATATTTCTAATTTTTGTAGTCGTAAATTACACATCAACATAACATATTTTAAATATATGATTGTATTGTCCAATTAAAAAAATATTTTAAAGGGAAACTTACCTGTAGGAATCTGGTGTAGCCAACAACCAAAGGGTTGCAAGCAATTGCTTCCTGACTGGTATGTGAGGCTTCACACCAATATCTCCTTGCAAAATAGGTGCCAACCTCTGTTCGAGTTGATTGTACGTTGTGGGGGTCATACGAAAATGTTGCCTGAATTGTTCACAATTAAGTTGCAGAATTGTACGCTCTACATAATCTACAATTCTTGCAGGTTTGCGTTGAGGTCCTCGTAATTGCAATATTCGCATATCCAACTCCTCATCAGAAACATCACTATCACTACTGTCACTATCCATTATCTCTTGTAAACAGTTATTGCTAATATTTATAGCTAATGCTATTAATACTCGACGATCCATAGCACAGAATATATATTTTTTTTGCTTTTTACTCCACCGGGTGGATTATAGCGCCTTCAGCCTTTTTATTAGGCTATATAGCGCACTGCACTGAGCACAGAATATATATAATCTATAGGTTATGTGGTGCCTTCAGATGGGTTTTCAAATATCTCAACTCTCAGATGCGTTCAGAAACTTCAATCTACCGAGGTCACCTGACAGTAGCTCCGCCCATACCCAGTCCACCCTTCCCTTACTCGCTGGGTGAGATATCTGAACGCACCCGAGAGCTGCCGGGGTGAGATAGCCAACTCGTCCCGGAATTCAAGGGCGAAGGACGCGCCCATCTGATTCCACGCCGCCACGTCCCGGATATAGGGCGACCTCGCGCGGGCGCGAGGCGCCCGCATGCAGAATCACCTGATCGCGCCCGTGCCACGGCAGGACCCCCGCGGCGCTGTGATTGGTCGCGGCCGACTGCGCCGCTGTGTTGCGCATCCCCCGGGCAGGGGGTGCAGGCATCGATCGCGAATTGAACGCGATCTACGCCGCTTTTGCGTGCGAGCGGAGAGAGCGTGCGGTCGATCAAGCGTGCGAGCGACGGAGAGCGAACGACCGATAGCGAGAGAGCGAGATCGAGGGAGACGAACAGCTGTCGGACCTGCTACCCGGGAGGCTGAGACTGAGACCGTGCCGGTGAGGTGACCCTCTTTTTCGCGTGTAAAGCCACGGGCTGACCGAGGATCTTGCTCGCACTCTGCGGACGTGAACGCCATTTTAGTGTTAGAGTTTCGTCGCGTGCGCCCCTTTGGCGACGCGTATCTTGTAGTTGCTCTTTGGTTTGGCGTATCGGCGTCCGTCCTCAAGTGCGAGGATTCTCATCGAATCTGCCGTGAGCGATCGGGAGTGTCGTGAGTCGCGTACCGAGCCACCCGGAGATCGTCGTCGCGAGTTCGCCGCAAAGCCCTCGCGCCTGAGCGCGCGAGCGTTAGAGTAAGTGTGTGGGTACGCGGAATCACGAGTGTCGTGCGTCGCGCTGTAGTGTGACATTGCGCGCGATTTCATTGCGTATCGGTGTAAGTCAATTTTCTGTCTGCTTCGTTTTCGTACGAGTATCTGACGCGTAAACTTACGATCGACTGTCGCGGAAATACTTATTGTCGTTAGACCTCGGTGCACGCGTCGTACCGAGCCCCGTCCGTTATTGTACCATCGCGCCGACTAGTTTTGAATGCGTTTCTTTTTGTTTCCGGCCGAATTTCATGCCTATTTCTTATCTTTTTCTGTCGTACGCGGGAATTCATCGTGCCGTCGGATTATCCGCGCTTATTAGCGTTGAATCAGTCGCGTTACGTCCGTATTTTTCTTACCGAACTGTGTTATCTTTTTTTCTTTCTCCGCCGTTTCTTACCGCCTTTCCAGGCGGCCAATAAACCTAACTATTATTTGTTTTATTATTAATTTGGAGTACGAATTTTTTCGCCCGCCCCGCGCCATCCCATCGCTTTTTTGCCTCGCCCTGCCCCTCAGCCGTTAGGTAGAGCCGGCCGGCCCTCGTGCGATCGACTTCGGGAGCGGCGTTTGATGGTCGAGTGTCGTCGCGCGTAAGGGTTTCGTTCGCGCTATCGCGTAATCGTTCCGTTTCGCGAGTGACGTGACCTAGAGCACGTCTGGCGCCCAGTCTTCGCGTCGCCGCTCCTCGTCGGTCGCCGGAGGGACACATCCCGGAGGGCTGCCACCTTCCCTCCCTGGAATCGTACGCGATTTCCACAACCTTGTTTGATCCGTGCTCGCGCGAATTATTTATTTCACGGGAGCACGTGACAACGTACTTTCTTTTCATTCCTTACCAGTGCAAAGTGAAATTTAGACAATGTATACTATCGTGCACCACAAATCAATGACTATAAAACGTTAAGCTTATTAAAGTATCTTCCTTTTTTTATGTCTTCCTTTCTATTGTAACGACCAAGGAAACTTTTCACTATACCAACCACACTTATTTGAATTTCTCCTTTATCTTTATGTGATGCAAGACCATAGCATAGATATATAAATAGAGTATTGTTTCAGCTAGAGAGTCGACAACTCGTCATGTAATGTCGCGGCCTGAGCCAATCAGCGCACGATTCGGATCCGAATCGCGGGCTGTTGATTGGCTCACGACGCGAGATCACGTGACGAGTTGTCGACTCTGACTGCGTTCCGTTTCACGCATGATGCGCGTAATTATGGTATCCTTTGTTCACCAAATGTTAAACAAAGATAAAGGATAAATCATGCGCATCATGCGTGAAACGAAACCCAGCCTCTCTTATTATAGGCTCTCTAATTTCAGTTTATGGGGATGTCCTGTTTACAAAGACAATTTAGGATGCGTTCCCACAACGCACCTTAAGGTTACTAGATGGATCCTGCACACTTAGGGTTCCTGCACACTGGACGCGGAAATGCTTGCCACGGTAAATTGCGACATGATAGCCAATGGACGTGTCATCTTTCTTTAGGAGCTGTAAGTTTATTGGCTACTGCGTCGCATTTTGCCGCGCGGCAAACATTTCCGCGTCTAGTGTGCAGGAAAGTCCTAGATTATCAGAGAAGCGCGACTGGTGTTACGACTCCTGATTGGACTCGCAAATGGCCAATCATAAGATTGATTTATCGGTATTATAACTGGCTGCCGAATAAATCATTCTTATGATTGGCAATTCGACGCCATTTTTAGTACATTTTTAATATTTTCTAGTACTTTTGTGATACTGCCATTAGCCGGTCGAGCTTCTCTGATAATCTAGGATTCTATTCACACTAAACGTAACGTTTGGGTATTATTGGTTGGTGGTACCTCGGAAGTGGTGTGGAAGTCCACCAAATTTTTCAATCATTATTTAATAATATTAAGAAAGCGTTTATTATTATTAATTCGTATAATTGCGTGTCTT